CCCTCTTCCCAAGGCGGGTGGGGGGGAGGGGAGGGGGCGCCCCCCCCCAAGCTGTCGACGCCTGTCCGGCTAATTGAGCTTTGCTTTGTCTAATTACTGGCGGGGCTCGGGGCGGTAAGCTGACACTGGGGCGCCGTGGGTGGCATCGGCCCGGCGGAGGAGGCGGGGTGGGAGAGGCCTGCTTCCACTCAGCGCCGCCGCCGGGTCACGGTCGGGGACCCGCGGGGCCTCCCCCTCCCCTCCGCCGAGCTCCACTGAGCCTCTGGGCCGGTCCTCCCTCCCTGCGGTGGCGAAGCAGGCTCCGGGCTGCGCTCCTCCCGGCCGGCCGGCCGGGACTGCAGGCTGCCCTGCGAGGCTCCCGCCGCTTAGGAAACGCGTCGCCCCCGAGAGACTCCTCCTGGGGAGAAAGGCTGCGGTCAGGACACGCTAAAGAATCCCCTCTCAATCCACTCCCAATGTCGTTCCCAACTGGAGTTCACTGTGGGCGATTCTGCATTGGCGTTTCCCTCCGTTGTTTTATCAAACGCACATTGGAACAGGAATTCCCCTCGGCCTTGCGTGCTGCTTTCGCTTCCTTTGATCATCGGGTTTGATGGGACCCTCTGCCTTGCGTGCTGCTTTCACTTCCTTTGATCATCGGGTTTTATGGGACCCTCTGCCTTGCATGCTGCTTTCACTTCCTTTGATCATCAGGTTTTATGGGACCCTCTGCCTTGCATGCTGCTTTCACTTTCTTTGATCATTGGATTTTATGGGACCCTCTGCCTTGCATGCTGCTTTCACTTCCTTTGATCATCCGGTTTTATGGGACCCTCTGCATTGCATGCTGCTTTCACTTCCTTTGATCATTGGATTTTATGGGACCCTCTGCCTTGCATGCTGCTTTCACTTCCTTTGATCATCAGGTTTTATGGGACCCTCTGCCTTGCATGCTGCTTTCACTTCCTTTGATCATCAGGTTTTATGGGACCCTCTGCATTGCATGCTGCTTTCACTTCCTTTGATCATCAGGTTTTATGGGACCCTCTGCCTTGCGTGCTGCTTTCATTCCTTTGATCATCGGATTTTATGGGACCCTCTGCCTCGCATGCTGCTTTCACTTCCTTTGATCATCAGGTTTTATGGGACCCTCTGCCTTGCATGCTGCTTTCACTTCCTTTGATCATTGGATTTTATGGGACCCTCTGCCTTGCATGCTGCTTTCACTTCCTTTGATCATCAGGTTTTATGGGACCCTCTGCCTTGCATGCTGCTTTCACTTCCTTTGATCATCAGGTTTTATGGGACCCTCTGCCTTGCATGCTGCTTTCACTTCCTTTGATCATCAGGTTTTATGGGACCCTCTGCCTTGCATGCTGCTTTCACTTCCTTTGATCATCAGGTTTTATGGGACCCTCTGCCTTGCATGCTGCTTTCACTTCCTTTGATCATCAGGTTTTATGGGACCCTCTGCCTTGCATGCTGCTTTCACTTCCTTTGATCATCAGGTTTTATGGGACCCTCTGCCTTGCATGCTGCTTTCACTTCCTTTGATCATCAGGTTTTATGGGACCCTCTGCCTTGCATGCTGCTTTCACTTCCTTTGATCATCAGGTTTTATGGGACCCTCTGCCTTGCATGCTGCTTTCACTTCCTTTGATCATCAGGTTTTATGGGACCCTCTGCCTTGCATGCTGCTTTCACTTCCTTTGATCATCAGGTTTTATGGGACCCTCTGCCTTGCATGCTGCTTTCACTTCCTTTGATCATCAGGTTTTATGGGACCCTCTGCCTTGCATGCTGCTTTCATTCCTTTGATCATCAGGTTTTATGGGACCCTCTGCCTTGCATGCTGCTTTCCCTTCCTTTGATCATCAGGTTTTATGGGACCCTCTGCCTTGCATGCTGCTTTCACTTCCTTTGATCATCAGGTTTTATGGGACCCTCTGCCTTGCGTGCTGCTTTCGCTTCCTTTGATCATCGGGTTTTATGGGACCCTCTGCATTGGAAAGTGCCTTGAAAGCGGATTGGAAGTGGCACAGCCCGGACTCAGGTGGAGATCAGTTTGGAATTGTAAAGTGCCTTGAAAGCGGATTGGAAGTGGGTTATTTAGTGTGTGTGATCGCAGCTAAAGACAATGACAATTTGGGGCTCCAATCCCAGACATGCTCTAGTCTCCAGGAAGCAAATCCCGTTTAACACAACAGGGGCTTCCTTTCCAAAGGGATTATAGACAAAGTCCGTGGGAGCGGTGGTAGTCCCGCTTAATACTGCCTGAGTCACTCTTTATCTGGCACTGGAGCAGAGAGAGGGCGAGGCTTATTCCTTGCGTGGATCCCCCTACAACAACTCTCCCTTTCCGTCTTGAACTCAGTTCCTCCGCCTGTGAAATGGGAAAGAGAAGGTCACCCCGCTGTCCGGTCTCCTTGCAAGGAGGTCCCCAAAACTCTTTGCACGCCGAAGACCAGTTTGAGAAGGAGATGGGCGGAGGGCCATCCGAGGCGAGTCGCTGACTCACGAAAGCTCCTCCCCGCCCACCAATTTCCTTAGTCTTTAAGGTGCTCCTGGACCTGGACTCTTGCTCTTTTCTACTGCTGCAGTTGAGAACAACACGGGTTGTCACCAAGGCTCCCTCTAAGCTGTGGAGTCTACTGAACAAACGCTCTACTCTGTGGGCTACGGGCATGAAAGTTGTGAGCTGTTGTGAGCGAGGGATTTGGCTACTGCAGAAATCAGTTGGCTCCGGAGCCCTCCTTCCTGAGCGAAGACAAAAATGCGTGAGCTGGAGGCTAAAAAACTGTGAGCTGGCTCACGCGAACTCAGCTTAGGGGGAACACTGGTTGTCACCTTCTCTTCTCCCCACCCCCAACACACATCTCAAACCCCCTCCGCATCTGACTGGCTTTGAACTGGCGAGTGAACATATCGGACTTCACCGCCAGGTAGTTCACCTTAGGGGGGGGTACACCCTCTCTCTTCCCTTCCCCAGGGACAGGTTGCCAACCTGTTGGAATTGCAAGTTGCTTACACTTCAGTCATTACAGAGTTAAATGTTGTTTGTTAGGAAACAGGATGTTACGTTACATAATGTATTCAACTTCGGGAAAGTTTGTGGGAGTTGTTTATCCTAACGAAGTGACCTGTAACCTTTGTATTGGTCAACCAACAACTTGTTTGTGAAAATGCTTTGATCTAGCATTAATGTATTCACAAGTTTATGGCCCTTTGTGTGAACCAAAGCGGTCGATCTCTTCGAGAAGCCAAGACAGATAGAAAGATGTAGCTGTTAGCATATATTACTGAGAGTAACTGCAAGTATGTAACCTTTTATCTTATTTCTTTTCTCCAAAGTACCATACCCATGTTTTATTTTGTTTTTTTATAGTAAAGATTTTTTTTCTTTTAAGAAGTGTGGCTCTTGTGTTTGCAATACAACCGTCGACCTTGATTTAAGAATCCCAACATAACCGCACCACTGTCGCTGCCTCGGACTGCCAATCACCGAGTCCCGCGAGTAAAGGGAAAGGACAAAGGAGACCGACCGACCACCGGTGCGGATCCAGTCAAGGAATCGGAACCGTCCCCCCAGCGCTGGACACCCTGAGGGGCTTTGGGTCTGAGTCTCCCGGCGGCATCTGTCCAAGGGGAGGGGAGTGAGGGCGCTCAGTCCCCCAGGCCGGCTGGAGGAAGCCACCGAGGCCGAGTTTGTAAAGCGCTTCCCCACGTTTGAAGTCCTTTAAGAGGGCAGAAGGAGAACTGGGCGTCAGGCGGGCTCCTCTCCAGTGGGGCTCTCGGAAGGACGTCTCTGTGGATGTCGTTGCAGGAAAAGCGCGCACGGACACACACACACACACACACCCGAGACGTTTTAATATCAACCGGAAATAAGTTTGCTAATTGTAGACACCCCCGTCGATGCGGATGTCGATGCGCAGCCCAATCCGGAACCATTCACGACTAGAGCTGCGGCCAGGGCGGCGCCCCTCTTCTTTACGCGTGCGTAATTTCCGCTCGCCTCCCCGGGTCGGTCTGCAGACCTACCGTCCCGGTCTCCACGGAGCCAATGCCCCCCCCCTTTTTTTTTGACGGCCCAGGAGATGTGACGCAAAGATGCTCTACTGGTTGTACTGGAGAACATGACCGACTTGGCGCTGCTGGTTCCATCTGCGCGCAAGAGCGCAGGAGGACCTGAGTGAAACGACTATTTTTGTGGCCTTTACTCTCTCCGAGTGAAAGAGCGGCCCTTACAACCTCTTGTCGAACTCCAGGAAGGTCATTATCCTTCCAGAGCGGATTTAAAAAAAGAAGTCCTTCCAGCTAGCCCAAATCGGCCCCCGTTCCCATGCCAAGCGCAAGGAGAGAGAGAGACAGAGAGAGAGAGAGAGATCCCCGGGTTACCTTCGGAGTCTGGCGCTGCTGGGCAGGCCGGCAGCTGTCTGAGGGGCCCTTTGATGGATGGCGGGATTGCGTGTGCGGAGGAATGGCAGCCAGGCAGCCCTCCGGACTGGAGGCGGGAGTGGACACGGGCCAGCTGGAAGGCGGCGCGCCCGGCCTCGCTGGCTCCACACACACACACACACACACACACACACACCGCCCTTCTCCCCCCCCCGCTCTCTCCTCCCCCCTGGGCCGCTCTCTTGGGCAGGCTCAGCCACGGGAGGGGAGGGGAGGGGAGGGGGGAGTTCCTCCGGCAGGCGACAGATCGCGGTTCCTCCTGATAGGCGCCCGCAGAGGTTCGGTTTGGCTGCGCCGCCTTTGCGCAAACGCGGCGACGGGGGTGGGGGGCGTTGTGTGTGCGTGTTTCCTCTTCTTTAAAGGCTCGGGGATGGCCACTAGGTGGGGGGCAGAGAGAGCAGAGGAGGAGAGCTAAGGAGAGGGAGGGAGGGAGGGAGGGAGCGGAGGGGTGGGGGCGAGGGGGCGAGAGCGCGCGGCTTGCGCAAGGCGGGCAGGAGGGCGGGATGCTCCGGGCGCCGCTTCCAGATCGCTGAGGAGGTGGCGGCCGAGGAGGAGCCGGTTCCATGAGCTCCGAGGTCGGGGCCCCGGTGCCTCGCAGCCCGGCCTTGATGAGCCAGCCGCCGCCGCCGCCGCCCGCCCTGGAGACGTCGGGCAACAGCAGCAGCAGCAGTGGCGGCGGCGGCGGCGGGGGCTCGGCGTCGTCGTCGGCGCCGTCGAAAGGCAAGAAAGCGGCGTCGGGCTTGCGGCGCCCGGAGAAGCCGCCCTACTCGTACATCGCGCTGATCGTGATGGCCATCCAGAGCTCGCCGGCCAAGCGGCTGACGCTGAGCGAGATCTACCAGTTCCTCCAGAGCCGCTTCCCCTTCTTCCGCGGCTCCTACCAGGGCTGGAAGAACTCGGTGCGCCACAACCTCTCGCTCAACGAGTGCTTCATCAAGCTGCCCAAGGGCCTGGGCCGCCCGGGGAAGGGCCACTACTGGACCATCGACCCGGCCAGCGAGTTCATGTTCGAGGAGGGCTCCTTCCGCCGCCGCCCGCGGGGCTTCCGAAGGAAATGCCAGGCCCTCAAGCCGGCCATGTACCGCGTCATGAACGGCCTGGGCTTCCTCCCGCAGGGCTTCGACTTCCAGGCGCCCCCCGCCGCCCCCCTCGGCTGCCACCCCAGCGGCTACGGGCCCCTCGACGTGATGCCGGCCGGCGCCTACGAGGCCCACCACGTCCCCCACATGTCGCCCAGCCCGGGCTCCACCTACATGGCCAGCTGCCCCGTCCCCGCCGGCGGCGGCGCCGACTACGGGCCCGACAGCAGCAGTAGCCCCGTGCCCTCCTCGCCCGCCCTGGCCAGCGCCATCGAGTGCCACCGCCGGAATGGCCTCCTACTCGCTGGAGCAGAGCTACCTGCACCAAAACGGACGCGAAGACCTCTCAGGTACCCGGGCGACCCTCGCCTTCCTCCTCCTCCCCGCCCCCCCTTCCCAATCCGCTTTCAGTCAGCCCAACGGGTTTCTGCTCCGCTTGGAGGGTTAACGCACAGCCTCGCTGGGCTGGGGGTGGGGTGGGGGGCGACGGTGCCATTCATTCGCACCAGACGTTTCGTAGCTAAAAATCCCATTCCACTCCATTGGCCTTCCTTGGGTGACTACCTGCTCCTATGTGCATTGACCGGGAAGGGGATCGGCTGGTCTCTAGGTCACCTTCCCGTTCAGCCTTATCATGTGCCTTGCTTATCCAGGGCCGGAGACCCTGACCTAAGGCTGGGGGTGCTAAGCGGTGCTAAATTCCCTGGAAGTCTGTGATGCTGGGCTTGCAAGGGGCTGCATTTGTCGTGCACCAGTCCAGAATACATTAACCCCCGTCCCTACGTACACGTATTCATTCTCTCTCTCTCTCTCTCTCT